TTCCAATCTTGTGAGACACTGAGAAGAGAACTCAGCCATGCCATGCCCATATTTCTTACTTACAGAATGTGAGTGAGAATAAATGCGTTTTGTTTCTAGCCACTTCGTTTGTGATAATTTGTTATGCAGCAATAGAAAATTAACATATGCATGTTTTTCACATTCAAATTATACACACTCACACAATTTCAAATGGTCTCAAATTCTTTAAAATGGTACATTATTTTGCAATTTTTTTTACTATAAATATTATAGTATGGTGATTTAACTACGTCATTGTATGTAACTACATGTTAATCATTTTTACATAGCAGCGGTCAGCAAACTGTTTTTTGGTAAAGGCCTCAGCAGTAAATATTTTAGGATAAAAGCAGCTATAGACAACACATGAAAGAATTATTGGCTGCATCTCAATAAAACTTATGAAGAAAGGTAGTGGGCTAAACTTGATCAACAGACTATAGTTTGTCAGACCCTGGTATATAATATTCTACTCTACACATATGGCACAACTTATTTATTCATTCTTCATTAGCTCTACATTTGTTTCCAATTTTTCACTTTCACAAACATTAAATTTATTCTAACCTATTGTTTAAGAGTGCTAGAATTTCTTCAGACTGGTGGTAACACAATCCTCAATAAGAAATATATTGGATAACACATTCCAATAAACACCTACACACACAAACACAAATGTTCTGTATGCTAAATTGTACATGATGGCACTGTGCACATGTACATAAATTTGCTATTCAAAAAACAATACTCCCATTATTTTGTACTGTATTCTTAAAAATTCTGGGATAACCACTGAATAAATTTAAAAATTTGAAAATAATTTGCTAAGTATATGCATTGAAGGGATATTGTTGGGCTAAAGAGTATGCTCATATTAAATTTTACTATATGGCATAAAATTGCTTATGAAATGAAATTCTCTCCAACATTTAGTAAATGTATGCTTTTCTACAGTCTTTTTATGATTTTTACTTTCAATATTGAAATAATTGTATGCTTACAGAAAAGTTACATAAGTGTTAAAAGACAGTTCCCATATTCCCCTGATCTAGCATCATTTAATGTTAACATCTTACACAACCATAGTTTAATTACTGAAACCAGGAAACCAACACTGGTACAATTTGGTACTTAAAAAAACTGCAGACTTTAATTCAAATTTCACCAGTTTTCCTTTGCTCGCCCGCGCGCGTGCGCATGTGTATTTTCATTCTAGTAAGGATTCCGTATTGCATTTAGTTTCTGTTTGTCCTTAGACTCTTCTAACGTGTAATATTTCCTCAATCTTTCCTTGTCTTTCTTGGTCTTGGCAGTTTTGAAGAATACTAATTGGTTATTTTGTAGAATGTTCTTCAATTTGAGTTTATGTCGTGTGTTTTTCATGATTGGAATGAGATATTTTTGGCAACAACATCAAAGAAATGATATGCCTTTCTTGGTGCATGGTGCCAAGGAATTCATGATGTCAACATGTCATTACTAGCGATGTTAACCTTGTTCATTTGGTTAAAGTAGTGTTTTTCTGGGTTTCTCCACTGTAAACTACTCTCTTTTGCTTTGTAGTTAATATATATCTTGAGGAAGATATTTTGAAACTTTGTAAAATCTATTTCTCTTTAAACTTTCACCCACTAAAGTTTGCATCTATTGGTGGATCTTGTCTGCAACAGTTTTCACTATACTCTTTGCCTAATGATAATTATTTCCCCTTTGCCCTTTTAGACAAACAAATGAATCAAAAAGTATCTGTTGTTTTATGAACATTTAGAGAGTTAGAGTGCTGTTGAGCATATTTTCTCACATTTATTGGCTACTAGTATTTTGTTTGAATTGTCTATTACTCTACTTATTATTTTCTTCTGTTTGATATCATCTGTTTCTAATTGATTTGTTGAAGCTCTTTATATAGTGTAGATTCTAATGTTTTGTCATATAGGTGTAGTTGTAAATACATTTCCCTTGCATGTAGTTTGCATTTGTAATCATTTATGCTTTCTTTTTTGGACATAATTATACTATGTAGTAAATTATGGGAAATTTTGCTTTATATTCTATAACTTTTAAAATCTAGTTTTTATAAATCCATTTCTAGCTGAGGTTTTAGTCTATATTTCCTCTTTTAAAAATTTTCACATATAGATGCTTAATCTATCTGGAATTTATTCTTATTTATTCATATATATGGTGTGAGGTAAGAATAAAATCATGTTTTTTTCATTTTTCCTATTTGATTAGGAATTGCATTATTTATTTCCCTGAATTAGAAAACCATTTTTGTCATATATGAAAATCCACATATATGTGCCCCTTCTATGGGTCTCCACTTGGTTTTAATGCTTGGTTTTACTCCTGAGTGTTTATAACACAGTATTTTAATCTAGACAACATTATTGTAAGTCTTGATAGCCTAGGAAGTCCTGCTTCTTGCTTTCCTGCACTAGAAAAATTTCTTAACCTACTATATTAGAATCAGTTGCTTGATTTCCACAAGAAATCAATTCACAATTACTTTTGGTATGTGTCAAATGTATAGATTAATTTAGTGAAAGTAGATTTTCTAAGTCTTTCCATTTTTGAATGTGGTATAGCTCTTCATTCATCCAGGTCTTCTTTTGTCAGAACAAATACTTTCTCTTTATGTTAAATGTTATAGAACATTTTTTTGTAATACTCTAAAGAGGCCCATTTCTATGTCACTTAAATTCAACATACATTTTTTATGCATGTCCAAATGCATAAGCAAGGTATTTTAAACTCAGTATTTCAACCATAATATGAAAAAAATCTGAAGAATCATGAGATGCTTTATGAAGGGTCTTCAGTATATAGCTCTTCCTTCTGGGGATTTTTTTTTTTCCTCTAAATTTTAATGACTTGGAGAGGATAATGACCTATTCAAAAAGTTTTTTTTTTTTAAAGTAAATTGTATCTCTACTTAACTTGAGTTTATAAATTGTTATGCAATACAGCTCCAGCTATCATTATTTAAAGATACTGAGTTTGGGAAAACAATCACCAGAGATCATATGAAGATTTCAAGAGATGGCAGGTAACGGATTCTTGATGATTTTATAATTGTAAACAGCCCATCTGAGTCTATTTGTCTCTCTTTTGTAAAAATTGTTCAGATCTCCATGAATGAATGATCTTGTATAGAAAGGTACAGGCATATTTTAAAGATATTGCAGATTTGATTCCAAACCACTATAATAAAGTGAATATTGCAATAAAGAATGTCACAAATTTTTTGTTTCCCTGTGCATATAAAAGTTATGTTTATACTAGACGGTAGTCTATTGAGTGTGAAATAACATTATGTCTAAAAATATACATAACAATTAAAATATTTTATTGCCAAAATACGCTGACACAGAGACATAAAGTGAGCACATGTTGTTGGAAAAAATGACACCAATAGATTTGCTTGATGCAGGGTTGCCACAGACCTTCAATTTGTAAAAAAAAAATTGCACTGGCTGCAAAGTGCAATAAAACAAGATAATGCCCGTATTTCTGAAATGAGGGCATTTTGCATGAGGACATGACCTTTAAAAGCAAGAAACCTATTTGACCTTCTATAACTAACATTTCCAATAAATTAGTTAGAAATAGCATACCATATGAGCAAATTACAATGGGAACAAATTGAGAAATAGACACCGTTTTGAGAAAAAGGTCAATATAAATCTAATGTAAACATACAGGACATGGAAAATTATCAGGGTAATCTTTAAAGTGAGTAGCTGTAATAGAACATTACTTCTAGAAATGGTCTTAAAGACTGAGTAGTCCAGTCCTCTCTTTTTTCAAATAAATAAAATGAGGCCCTGAGAAGACATACAACTTACTTAATAACAATGACAAACAGGTACTCTTTCTCCTTGGAATTTTTTTTCTTTCTGATTCTTAATTGTGGAAAGACTCTATCATCCTTATAAATGAAATGGGCCTGTCTTTTTTCACACTGCAATGTGTGGCAATTGGTAAAAGTATGTCTGACAAGACTAAGCAGAGAGGTGAGAGAGTTTGGGACATACTGGAATTGAATTGGGAACTACTGTATAATAATTCCATTTCAGAAATAGAAAATAATAATGGTAGAAACAAGCAAGCGTTCATATGTGGGATTCTATAGTTCCAAAAACTCAGGGACAGTAGGTATTGTTTTTGCTTCAAAGTAGATAATCTAAATCCCAGAAATGTAAAAACTAGTCAGATGGAGTTCATGAGCCAAGGAACATTTGGATTCTAAGAAAATCAGCAAAGAGGAATATATAAAACAATACAAACTCATTATATCATATAATATGTATAGGGTTCAATCTTCTTATCCTAAACCCAAGCTCTTCATTATCTGCCCCACCTTTTTTAAGTCCTGGTTTTTATAAGCACATGGGACTTCAGTTCAAATTAACTAAACAAATACTGAGTACCTGTTTTGTATGGCAACTGCATTCAGAGTTGTAGCTTTTCCAAAGATATTCAAACTATGTGTCTGTTTTCCAGGACATTAAATGTAATGGAGAAGGCAGATATACAAAAATCTGTGACATAGAACAGAGCTGACCTAGACCTATCCTCCACACTACATTCACATTTATCACATATTTATTTTCATTTTAATTTTTAATTTTTTTCTTAAAGGTGGAGTTTCACTATGTCACCCAGGCTGGAATGCAGCAACACGATCATTGCTCAGTGCAGGCTCGAACTCCTAGGTTCAAACAATTCTCCTGTTTCAGCCTCCTGAGTAGCTGGGATTAGAGCCTTAAACCACCACACCTGGCTCATCATACACTAAATGCATAGGAATTCCAGAAAATTTTGCATTTTAGAGAATGGATACAAAATTACCTAGATAATATGATGTCAATTACCATCAGTGCTACATAAAGAGTATTTAATGGTTAGCAGTGTTTTTAAATTAATAAATTATAGGAATTTCTCTGCCAAAAAAATCTTTTTTTGTTGTTTATTTAAGCCTACAGCACCTGATATTTTCAGGCAGTCTCCCATCCAAGTCCTAATCAGGCTCAACCCTGCTTAACTTCTGAGATCAGATGAGATCAGGTGGGTTCAGGGTGGTATGGCCATAGGCCACCCTAAATTTTCTATAGCAGTCGTATAAGTGTTACAACAGAAAGGTACTTAAGTGTTTTTTTTTTCTCTTCAGGGCAGCAAGAATCCACACTGTTAATATGTTTGAAATTGATGACTTTAGAAGTAAATGTTTGAATCTCACTCTCATTTTTATTAAAAGGATAGAAGTATTACATGCTCAAGATTTTAAGGCACATCTTTACAGAGATACATATTAAAGTGAAATTTGCTCCATTTCTATTCTTTATCCAATTCAAATTAATACATTTACACCTTAACGCAGTATAATCTAGAGTTATTGAAAATCTAATTACGAAAGAAACCTTCAAAGTATTACAAAATACAAAGGATCACATCATATCAGAAACTATTCTCAGAATGATTGCATATATAATGCCTGCTTAAATATGAACATAGGAATTCATGTTCCTAATTCATATATACAAATATTTTGATATATTTGACTGTATTAAAATGAAAATTGTTTCAAGGGATACTACAGATGGAAAGTTTGTATTTGGAATGTATATGAAAGAGGAAGTGTTGGTATAGAATCTACACAGAAATTCTGAAAATTAATAGTAAATCATAACACAATCTAAGTAGCTAAAGGTTATAGATAGGCAATTCTCAGGATAGAGATATTATTGTCAATAATTATATAAGAAAATAATAACCCATACTTGTACTAAACACAATTCATATTAAAATAAGATAAATAATTGTATTGTTCATTTGGTAAAAGAATTAAAATCTGGTAATGTCAATTCTTGTCAAGAATCTGGAGTAATGAGAACTTTCATGTATTTCTTGTTGGAATGTACATAGAACCAACCTATTTAAAGATCGCGTTGGCAATATTTAGTAATAATAGAACAATGCCCTTCCACTTATAGAGCAGCTATAAAGTCTCTGCATGATATCCCTGCTTATAATGATGACCTGAAAAAAACTATCAGGTACCCTCCCCGTTAATGACTCCCAAGCAGTTGTCTACAAGATCAGGTTTGAAAATATACATTTGTGCTAATAGAACACAGAGATCACTAATTGGGATATAGAGACTTTGTGGCCACCATAAATAAACTGTGTAGAAATGTCTGCACATAGGCATGAGATGTTTATCCTAGCAATGTTTGTAGTAACAAAACAGAACAAAACACAAATTTAAAATAATTCTAATGTCTAAGGCGATAGCATGAAAGATTTGATTGAATTCATGTGAAGATTTAAAATTAATGACCTATTGTACCGTATAAACCTATAAACCTACATACATTACTAAACATAGTGTTTAGTGAGAAATCCAGGTGCGAAGCGCTGTGTACGGCAAGTACCATTTTATGAAAAAACCCACAGAAATCAATGTTATGTACTCTAAGAATACACACACACACACACACACACACACACACACACACACACAGAGTTCTGTGTTTTTTTCATATACATCTAAACATACCCACATACATATAGGCATTCAAAATAAAAAGCAGAATGAATAGAATATTATTTGTAGGTGAAGTTATTTTAGTACAGCAGTTTTCTCTTGAAAAGCACGAGGATTTTATCATATATATAATATTTTTTTCTAAAAATATATATCTAAAACAAGCATAACAACTGTTAATATGTATTGGAGCATATGTCTTTTATGACTTTTTTTCTACTTTTGACAAACTTCATAAAGAAGAAATAGCAACAAACGTCTATGTGAAAAATATTACTAAGTGCTACAAAAGCACAAAGGAAAGCATCACATTTTGGCTAAGAGAAAAAAAAGGTTTATGGAACTAGTGATACTCACTTTAGATAACGGTTGATGCATACAATTTCAGTAGACAGACAAGAGGAAGGTCATTCCAAGCAGAGGCAATATTTGATTTGTGTAGAGAAACAATATTTAGAAGCTATTTAAAGAGTTTGAAGGACATATTAGAAATACATTTAGGAAAATGCTGCTTGAGAGACATTTTTAGGAATTTAGGAATAAGACAGAGGTAAAGAGGAAAGGAATTGAGTCAAAGTCAAAGGTTGATGAAATATAAAGCAGAATGGAGACTGGCAGCAATACATTGGATTTAAACAGATAAGTAGAGAAAGTCAGTGTAGTTTTATTAGAATTATAAGTTCAGGAAAGTGCAGGAAGACAGGGAAGTGGCAGCAAATAGTCCAGGCTAGTTTGAAAATGTTTATTGGAGGAAGAAAACACATATGCAGAAGTAACTTAGCTCAGTGCTTTGGGAGGCAGAGACAGAAGGATTGCTTGAGGCCAGGAGCCCAAGACCAACCTGGGCAACATAGTAAGACCCCTGACTCCACAAGAAAACAAAAGCAAAACCAATTATCCAGGTGTGGTGGTGCGTGCCTGCAATCCCAGCTACTTGGGAGGCTGAAGTCAGAAGATCGCTTGATCCCAGGTGTTCGAGGTTGTAGGGGAACTGTGATCATACCACTGAACTCCAGCCTGGGCAAAAGAGAAAGATCCCATCTCTTAAAAAATAAAGGAAAGCAAGGAAAGAATAAGAAGAAGGAAAGAATAAAAGGAAAGAAGGAAGAAAAGGAAGGAAGGAAGGAAGGAAGGAAGGAAGGAAGGAAGGAAGGAAGGAAGGGAAGGAAGGAAGGAAGGGACGGAGGGAGGGAGGGAGGGAGGGAGGGGAAAGCAAAAGTAACTTATTGGTGGTGTTGTGTCTTTTGTTTTAAGCATATAGGATACTTAGGCACTTTTCTAGTCAGAGTAATGGGAATAAAAAAATTATAAGGCCAGATCCTGGAGGAACTGGAGATGCGAAATATTGCTATCCAGAACAGAGCTGGAAGAGTTATCTTTGGTTAGCAGAAGACAGTTTTTTGTTTTTGTTTTTGCTTTTTAAAAATAAATAAATAAATAAAACAGAAGGAGGACAACAGGTTATAGAGATTACCAGACAGAAAGAACACTACAAGGCTCATTAGAGAGGAGTCTTGATCTTTGTAGTAAAGGGAGAAAATAAGAGCAGAGATCGTGTTGCCAGCTTGGAGAGGGTAGAAACTGTTTGGGAAACATGCTACAGGAACTGAAATCAGCCATTGAATGGGGATGTAAAGACGCCTATGATACAACTCCATCCCTGCTGCTTGGTCCAGAGTTAATAGTATCCTCTGCTGACATTTTTTAGTGGTTTGTGGTAGCCCATAATGCATATTTTATAACTTTTTAAACCTATTTTTCTTTCTAGAGTGTTCATCTATATGTACCAGGAACATAGTAAGTGCTTAATAAATGCTTCTAAATTGGATGAGCAAGACATTACATTAGTCAGTTCATAACTTACATTTAAATTCTCTGTGCCTGATCCGCATTCTTTGGTGCAGGACAGAGCTATGAATTAAAACAAACTTCCTGGGAAAGTTATTAGAGATGAACAACAACCTGAGCAGATACACTGCTAGCATTCCCTTTTTAAAGAGGGAAGCCAAGAGGTATTTCCGAATGTCTGTCTGGAAGATGGACTAAGTCACCACCTAACAACTGTGTGACGTTGCAGAAGTTGCTTTACCTCTATATAAAAGAAGTGGTATACTCGTCATGAGAACAGTTTCTTATAGTCCCTGCTCATAAATTGTTAGCTGTTTTGCTATTATTAGAAATGATTTTATACCCTTCTGTTCCATCCATCAGATGTACTATAAAGTCACTGAGGACTTCCTATTGTCACATGAGAGGTACCTTTAAGTGAAGATAGTCAGCATTGCGTATTATCAGTGGATAGCTAGGAGGAAAATTCTCGATACTTTGGCATTAAATTTATATGTATATTCAACTAGTGACTTGGATTAGGATAAATCCCCTCACTCTCAATAAGCTTTGTAGCACTGCATTTTAGAAAGCTTAGATGATGTACAGAATACCCGTTTGTGAATGTTTATGTGCAATTTTAGGCAAAAGAATTAAACATTAAAGGAAAACTATAACGGTAAGCTAAAAATACCCTGGACAGCTACATTGAATATTTACTAGATAGATGTACCAGGCTTAGCAAAATTAAATTTTAAAACTGTGCCTATAACAAAACTATGAAAAAAGTAAGAATTCATGCTTAGAAGGGAAAAAAAGAATGGAAAAAGGGTGACGATGCAGCTGGCAGGGGGATTCTTAATTCATATTTCCTTTTATGCACATTGTTTGCTAAGGGACCTCAGAGCAAATAACTTGGATCCTCTTGACTTCTGTCTCTCACTGGGTTGGGAGGCTGATGATGTAGTCTGTTTATTGTATGACTTCACTGTAAAAATCTGTGTGTGCCTATTTGGCATTATTATACTCTATAGAACCAACTCCAGTACACAATCATAGTTATTCTTGCCTTTCAACCTCTAAGAATTAATTATCTCTACAAATAGAATAATAAATTTGAGTGTCAGTTCACAAGATACCTATGTCCAACAACACGTTATTTTGTAGTTATATGGCAACATCAGGAAAAAATTAAATAAGAATTTCAAATAAGAAATAAGAGAAAAATTCAAATTGTTCATCTGCTTATAGGAGATATAGGTGAAAATGTTATTTGTTTCCAGTTTTCTCTCACACAAAGGGAAAAATGAGTTTTTATAAAGAATGGAATGAAGCCTTAACAGATGGAGACCAAAGCTTGATGCACTGGTGTGGGAAAGGACATACTCAGAGATGAACGTCCCTTAAATTTAGCCCAAGGGAAACATATTGAAATCAGCAGAAAGCAGGCTTCCTTCCACACAGCCCAGGCACCAACTTTGCTGCCCTCAGTGACATCAAGGCCTGGCTGTATCTCACTTAGGGAGTGGGTCAAGTTATACCTGATATACGTATCTAATAAAATTGTAGGAAGATGCAGAAGATAAGTAATCCTTGGATAAACATAAACCATTAATGAACTGTACAAGATATTATTTATTTACAGGGTCAGATTGCAGAAGCGATAATACCAAAGCTGATGGTAGTGTCTACATGTCAACAAAAAGGCAGATGTACAGTGA